GGCTGAGTCAACCCTGAGCCGGTGAGATTTGAACCGCTGACCTGCTGATCTAGCAGTAGCCTGCAGTGCTGCATTTAACCACTGCGCCACCTTGGCTCTGCGCCACCTTGGCTCTAATTGGGACTGGAATTTATGTTGCTAAAAAAATAGTAATTAAGTGACACATTACATAATTATGTTGCTTAGCGATTAGAGTTCCAATCATCTCAGGATAGTTATTAGAAAAGGAAAAGTACAATTGTTATGTGAGGACTTCTCACTTTTCCTGCTTTATACAAGTTGCTGGCTCTGTCCCATCTCCTGCCCAGCAAGCTGTTTTCAGCAAGCACGGCTCCTTTCCACATGTTCTAGAGGTATGCCCAGGACCTGGATCCTGGGCCAGCAGTGGGAGCAGTGACAATGAAGGTCAGCTGGGATTGCAAGGGTTGACAGAGGCAGATTGAAAAGTAGACATAGGGGAGAATATGTGGGTTGGAAGCATTGAATGCACACTTTGATTATAAATATGGGCTGATTGCCAAATGCTTAAATTTTCCCATTATCCAGCAGATGATACAACAGCGATAACTTTGAATATTAGTTGTAACTTTGAATGGTTCCTGACCAAATGTATGTTAAGTGAGGACTACCTGTATCTGACCTACTGTGGACTATCTGACCTGCTGTGGTCCTAAAACAGAATTCATGTTTATAATTCTATTACAAATACTTCCAACATCAGTGTATTCATCTGATACAAAGGGAGAGATCAGCTCGCCATCCACCCCCAGACATGGCCTCCATTATCTATGTCAGGGATGCTCAACTCCTGGGCCACAGACAGGGCTGTGAAAGTCAGCGAAGCTCCATCCGTGCATGCACAAAATCCAGGCAGTGTACAAAACCATGCCCCTCAGTCTACAGAAAAACCACTCTCCATAGAATTGGTCCCTGGCACTCAAAAGGTTGGGGACCATTGCCCTATGTGGTTGATAATTTCTAGACTAGATCCAATTATGCAAGGAAGTTCACATAGTAACCTTTAGCTTATACCTTCTCTACCAGAGATATCTCACTATTCCAAAAAACAAAAGGAAAGATAAAAAAGACATAGTTGAGGATCTGATTTCTCAAGGAAAAGCAAGACATACATATAAATCTTTCAAGCACAATATTCTCTATTATTTCTAATAATTTGTTTAATCATTCCTTTCAAGATCCGTGTTACTAGAAGTAGCATACAACTAAATAAATATTAAAATTAAGAAAATGTTTAATACCTTCCCGGTCTTCACATCCACATTAGAGAGTGTGTGTTTTCTCCAATGCTGCTCAAATGGTTTCTTCTGCTGTCCTGGAAGTGGTTTAGAATAATCATATTCATCTATCCTAACCTAGAATATAAAATACAAGTGAGGGTATATTATGTTTAAAACTCATTCAGATAAGACCAAGCATGTTTCAAAACAACGTAAGTAGCTTAACACATCTTAAATGGTAAATATAAATGTTGGCCCTCACACTGATAATAGATTCAGTATCTGCTAATTAAATAACCCAGTCCTTATATGTTTTATAATATCAGAATTGGAAGAGATCATGAAGGTCTTCTAGTCCAATGCCCTGCTCACATCCTATACCATTCTGGATAATGTCCAATCTCTTCTTAAAAATCTCCAGTGATGGAGCACCCATAATTTCTGGAGGCAAGCTGTTCCACTGATTTACTGTTCTCACTGACAGGAAATTTCTCAATAAGTCTAGGTTGGATCTCTCTTTGATAAACTTGTATTTGTTATTTCTTATCTGGTGCATTGGAAAATGACAACCTTCTTTTTTCTGTGACAACCTCTCATATACTGGAAGATTGCTTTCATATTACCTGTAGTCCTTCTCATTCGACCAGACATACCCAGTTCCCACAATTGTTCCTTGTATGCTTCAACCTCCAGTCACCTAATCATCTTTGTTGCTCTTCTCTGCACTTTCCACAGTCTCAATGTGTTTTGTATTGTAGTGACCAAAACTGGATGCAGGATTCCAAGTATGGTCCTACCAGCGGTACTACTACTTAGCAGGATATCCCTTGTTGATGCAGTCTAGAAGTGCATTGGCTTTTTTGGCAGCTGTAGCACATTGCTAGCTCAAACTTGAGTGGTTGTCCACTAGCACTCCTAGATCTCACAATTACTGCTATTGAACCAGGTACCACCAATTCTATACCTGTACATTTGGTTTTTCTAAGTGCAAGAGTGCAACTTTTTTTCACCACTGAATTTCCTTTTGTTGGATAGGCCCAATATTAAAATCCATCAAAGATCCTTCTGGATATTAAACTTACCCTTTTCAGTGTTGCCCCAGCTTGGTGTTGTCTGCAATTCTGATGAGTTCCCTTTCTATCCCTTCATTTAACTCATTATGAAGATGTTGAAGAGTTCTGGGCTTTGGACAGAACCTTGTAGATATAGTTCCATTGAGAATTATACATTAAGTGTGATTGGTCAGCTGCTTATGAATCTATCTTAAAACGGCCTTATCAACAAACCGGAAGTCTGTTCCCGAACTTCCGGTTTGCCCGTAGGGCTGTTTTTTTGCATTCCAGAAGCTTCAGNAGTTAAAGATTTATACATACAATTAGGAGTTCACGAGTATCAGTTCTGCCCGTTTTGAGATCAATAATAAATCAGTCTTTGTGCTGAGGGTGGGCGAATGCCTTTGTTCTGCAACAAGAAGCAGAAGAGATTCTTGACGCGGAGAAATGCTATGCAACCGGGCGTCTCCCACTCCCTTCCCAGATTTATGCTCTGGGGGGGTTAGTTGGAGCATTGCCCAAACATAGCTTGCTCGCCTTCTTCTTCTAAGCCCGAAGAAGAGGTAATCAAACTGCCAAACAGTAGATGGATGCTGTTTAGTTTAACACAGCCAAGATTCCGGAGCTGTTAAAAACAACAACCCCTGTCAGGCACCCGCCTACCGGAAGCCCGTTTTCTTTTCTTTTTTTTGAACTGTGAACAAGACTGGGACTTCCCTGTTATAAAAAGGGGTCTTACTCGTGAGTAAACATCTCATCACTACTTGTAAAGGCTGGGTCAAAACACTCTCCCAAACATTTCAGAGGGTCTGCTTAGCAGTGGGGCCATGTGACAGTTTCCCAGTATGCTTCATTTTCCTCCTAGTCGCTCTCATGAGCTGACATTGTTTGCACAGTCCCCATGGCAGTAGCTTCTCTCCAGGATGACCACTACTGCAGATCTAGTCTAATGTCGGGCCTGCCTCAGTTCAGGACTCTAGGAAAGAAAGACTCTCAATTCCATTTGTTTTTTTTTTTACTAAGGTTGTGGTTGCAGCAAAAAAGGATACATTTGAAAATTTCCATACAAAATGTTACATTCCCCCCCTTTCCCTGTCCCTCCCGCCCTTGACAGTCCATCCCTGTCCAATGGTGTGCCATTTAGGTGTTTTGGGAACAGCTTGAATGGTTGGTATCTCTTGGTGTGTTGACCAGGAATCTGATGCTATTGACAGCCTTAAGGGAGCATATGGATGGATGGCACCGTTGCCTCAACAGGCCTTTCTGTCATAGAAATTTCCTTGGGAAAGACCCATGTCCCTGACACCAAATGTCCTTGAAATATCTCCAAGGGAGGAGGATTACTATTTCTCTTGTAGATATTTCTGTACTTCTTTATCTTACCTAGACTGGAGTGCGCCAGTTCTTCTGGGTGATGAAATAGATAATTCAGCAAATATATGAGTGTCGCAGTGTGTTCAGGGTTCCCGCTTGCTTTTAGGGACCTGTCTTTATTCAGCTGAATAAATGCATTATTGAGGCAAATACCTACACTTTTTATCTTTATTTCTATTGAGCCACAGCTGAAACTAGCAAAATATTTTTGGTAACCACAGCAGGGCAGGTGCTCGGTCCTGGGAAGCCCAGAAATGGAAAAACACCAAATATGCTCTGGGATTTTCTGGAGGCACCTTCCTTCTTGACTCTTAAACAGGTTCTAAACTTTGGAGGACCAGGATTTATATTGTTTGCCTCTATTTAGTTCCTTTTTCTACCCTGGATGGCTAACAACTAAATAAGGAAATCATTTTACTTTTCCCTCTTTTCTCTCACCACTTAGTGTGTGCTTTGTTTTTGAATGACCTGTGTTGTATGAAAGGATGCATGCCTCGTCCAAGTTACCCTACCGTTGACAAGAGCTTGGAGTAATGGATGGTATCACCTAACATTCCATGTCTGGAATTGCTTAGAAAGCAAGGGGAGGGGGCAACCCAGTACTTTCATACTACAACAGATTGCAAGTGAATTGCTGTAGTACATGAGTTCCTCTTACATATTTCCCCACTGTTGACCAGGTCTAGGAATGAAACTGATTTCAACTGCCTGTGATTCCCTGCTAAGCCGTTGTGCTGTTGACAAGAGATTTAGCATTGAAGGAGGATCAATGGATCTCTTGTGACCCAACAGGCTTTGCAAGGGGTGTGACTAATTTAGATATATGGGCTCAGCCCACAGGAAATCTGAAATCGAGACAAATAAGAATAAGGGATGTGCCCTCAGTCCTCTTGAATGTATTTTAAGGAACTTTAACAAGCTTAAAAATCTGTCAAGATATGAAAATTGAAACCTTGCTCTTTGGCATCAGGATAAGCCTAATGTCTGGTCCCCAGGGGGATCAATTGACTTAGGAGTCTTTGAGACGATGGCAGAGTATGTCCAAAGAGGCATGGACAAAGATCAACAGGTTTACTATGCACCTTTTTGGACCTTGCAAGGAAAAGAAACAGATGTTAAAAAACGGGCTTACACCACCCTCCAGCACCTCCCGCTCCTTCTACTTCCCCATTCTACAACCTTGCTGAACATGTTTCTGAAGGGGGGAGCTCCAGAATGTCCTTGTTTATATTCCTATATTTACATCTGATCTCTATGCGTGGAAGGGCAGACTTGGTTCCTACACTGAGCCCCATATAAGTACTCTGATCTGGTCCTGTTTATTATCCGCACTCACAACTCCAATTAGGAGACCACAGGTCATGTTAGATCTTTTCCTTACATTGGAAGAGAGGTATCTGGTAGTGACCGCCACAAAGAAGGTTGCTGAGGAAATGCCCTTTTCCTGGAGACTGATCCTAAACTGTCTGTTAAGAACTATGATAGTCCAGATTATGAATACTTGAAAGTATTCCAAAATCTCATTGTCACTGCCTTGCAAACTGCCATTCCAAAACAGAAGAACCTAAGAAAAATATTTGACATCCATCAGCTGCCCTCAGAAAGCCTGAGTGACTTTCTTGAGCGCCTTTATCAGGCCATTTGAAAGTATGCGACTTGAATCCGGAAGGTTCAAAGAATCACCATCTTGTGAACATGCTTTTTATTGGCCAGAGCACTCCTGACAACAGGACACCAGTGACACACAATGTCCTTGGAAGACCTCCAAAAGAGAAGGATGACTATTTCTGTACTTCTTTATCTTATCTAGAGTGTGCCAGCCATTCTGAGTGATGAAATACATAATTTAGCAAACATATAAATATGAGTGTCATAGTGTGTATAGGCTTTCATCCTGCTTTGAGGGGCATGTTTTTATTCAGCTGAATAAATGCGTAAAGCTTATTGAGGCAAATACCTAGGTTCTGTCTTTTCTACCAAGCTACAGAAACTACTGAAACCGGTAAACAGGTGCATTTTCACATACTTTTCCCAGGCCAGGTGTCCTTGAACATGCCAATTCTTACACCTGTTTCTGTCAGAGCTGTCACCCCCTCTTCCTGCTCATCGCTACTCTCTACATTCCATTGTCCCCTCTTCCCTCCCTACCAGGATGCCAGCAAAGCATAGAAGCTGAAGATGGCAGATCTGACACAATAGTTATTAATTTATCTTTATTTATCTTAATGACTTGGAATTTTTTTTCAAAAACACGCATTTTCTTTTAATACCTCACTAAAATGAAAAGGATAAAGTAGTTTTGGAACTTGTAACAAACAAGAAAAGCCAATTTGAGTAACATTCATAATCATAATGACTTCAGCAATTACATTTTAAATGCCATGTAGTTATTAAAAGTTACAATGCACTAATAAATTTCTGTAAGCACAAATCTATTAAATGATACTCTACATTGCTGATCTTGATGGTGCTCTTACGTTCAATAAAAACCCCTCATTTTCATCGCATGCATATAGTCTCTTAACATAACACACTAGAAATTTATTACAGGAAGATGAAAAAAATGTATGCAACAATAAGCAGTATTCTGAGAAAATTAGGAACTGACTTGCATGCAAGAACATTTTGATATTGCAATATATAGCTCATGTCTCAAAACTCAGTTTTCTCATACATCAAGCATAAAAATTAGAGCAGATTTTGGA